TACTACAGATGGTAAAAAGCAATCCCCGCTCAGTTTTTAGAGGGACAGAGTACTGCTTTTTTTTTAACATAACATTTCAAATTTCTGCTCTATCAGAAATGTCTAGTTGCACCAAAACCACAGTGTTGGAAAAGAAATCAACTGTCTCTGCCAATAAGAACAACTTTTCCTCTTCCCCACAAAAATCCTGCCATTTCATTCATAAATAAAATAAGTCACTAACTCGGTTGTTGGCAGGCTCTCCCTTTTATCTTTCACTCACTTGAGAAAGACTAGCAACATCACGTTTTCAGAAAGCCAAGTGTAGTAATCATAGAATCGGATTTCATGTATTTTTAAAACACTTGCACCAGCAGAGCTCCAATCATATTTAAACGAGATATAAACATACAGAAATTCGGAAGAAGCAACCTAGAGTTCCTGACTATCTTCATTTCTTCAACACGAGACGAATGTGCCAGGAAGGGACTACTTTCTAAAGGAGATCTCAAAAAGTTAGCAACGTTACGCTACAAGCACCGCCGAGCCGAAATACTTATTATCTCAAATAAGCCTGGATGACATTTGAGATGTCTCGACATTTATTGGCCTGCCAGCAGAGTGTGGATCAACCAGCTCCTTTTCTCTCATTTTTTTTCCCTCCTGCTTGCTCAAAGTCTGCGTTCATAAAATATTTAGCGGAAGCTCTTCAGAGGATGGTATCGCCTATACTATAGCCCCAGTGCAGGTTTACTGTGCTACTGAGACAGATATTCTGCCACCAGAGAAATCAGAAGAGCTGATGGGGCTGAATTACTGCACCAGGAGCTCACCGTCAGACTGACAGTCTGGGCTCCATCCCCGCCTGGGACGCCAGCGGCAGCGGACAAAATGAGCAAACACGCAGAACAGATCTGGTCCCTTTTGCATGGTTATAAGCAGAAATGTTACTTTTCAGAAAGGAAAACAGAAATATGAATGTTCTGCCTGTTTCCGAGCCCCAGCTGGGGACAGCTGACCCTTTTTTACCTCTTGTTATTTTCTTGCCAGTGGAAAAAAAAAAAAGAGCCATGAAATCTGGAATTTAGATGCACTGCTAAATTAAGCTATCAGTTGGGTAGCATCTCCTAGTAGTACCACCCCTTTCTGCAGCAGCCTACCATAACTTAAACAAACTAGCATGGTCCCCTCCTACCCCCTGAACTTCATTACAACCTGGCAGTGACACATGTTCGTAGCCTTCCCTATTAATCCACACATTTTGTGCTCCCACCGCTATTTGATCTTTCCTTCCTAGTTTCATTAAATCAGCTGCAGATTTCCTGCGTTTCACAGACATTTTCCTGTATTAGAGCAAGCATCCGCTTTTAACCTTTTCATCTAAGCCTGGCTGCCTGAATGTACCTTTGAACCTCTGGCACACTCTAAATCCCTATCATTTTCCCTATTAGTTCAAGGGATAGATGTTCCTTTGTTCCACCTTTGGCATTTCTCACCCCTAAGCATCCAGGAGCTTAAATCAGGCTGTTGCTAAACTGTCCTCCTTTAATAATTTTTATGAAGTGCAGTCCAATTATCTTTATCTTCCTTGGGGATCCATTCAATTAAGCGCAGCCGTAATGAGTGAATGGACACAGAACATTGTAACCATATTTACATCCAGATTAATGGGAACCAGGTAAGATAACTTTAAAGCCATCAATATTTTAATACCTTCGCTTTTCATTTTGCTATCTTCAGTGTCAGACACATTTAGTGGGACCAGCACAATTTGAGAGGCTGAGTTTTTAATTTCCTCCTTGGTTTGTGGAAATGAGGGTTTAGAAACAGCAGCAAACTACATGAATTTGTCTTAAAATAGGTTTCTTGCAGGTTAACCAAAACACTTCTCATGACACAAAGCACGCTGGAACGCTTCGCCCAGTTTCTTGGACACTTCATGAATTGAAGGTAACGTAAGAAACCAGTAAAGAACCAATATTTAAGTGGAGATGCTGAGAGCACCGGGAAGTCTCATTTAATGAGCATGCAGCAGAAACGCTGAGCTAGAAACACCAGTCCTGAAGTGACTTGTCTCCCCTCTGAAAGACAAATGCTGGATCTGGAACATGGCCCTGTCTCAGGTACGGAATAGCTTTGACAGTTATTTTCACGCCTGCTTTGAGGTGCCTTTGCGTTGCAGGAGCAAGGTAGAAGGGTCCAACGGAGACTGAAAACCTGGTTCTGTTTCAACATGGCTTAACATCGTAGTGTCATAGGCACTGATAAATGTGTCAATAAGCATTTGGAGAAATAACTGGTATCCAGGGAATTTATCTTGGTTGTAGTAGTTTCAGCTGAATAGGTCAGATTTGTTAACATTTTAATTTACACAAATCTGCATTCCAAATACTGCTCTTCGGTGCCTTTTCCTAACAACAAGAAAATGTCAGCAGCAAAACCAAATTTACTCCTCTAATAGCTTTCTCAAGATTTCAGGAAAAACAAACAAAAACAAAAAACCAATCTGTGGTACAGTTATGGGAATGTTTAAACATTTTTTTTCAATTTAGACCTAATACGACGTTATGCTCATAAACCAGAAACTTTTGCCAGTTCCAGATGTAATCCTGAAATGCAGCAGAGGGCACTGGGAATAAGCGTGTCCCCTCGCTTCAGGGCAGCCCCAGGACTGTGCCCAGAGCTGGTCGTCCTGCTTCGATCCAAGTGTCCCTTCCCAACCTGGTACTCCGCTGTGGGACACTCAACACCGTATTTCCATATATAACATGCCAGCTTGCCTTGATTTCCCAGACTCAAGATTTCCCAGTGCAACAGGGAACCTAACGTGAAGCATATGGTTCCTCTGCAAGTTTTTAAAATACTTCAGACACAATGACATAAAAGTGAAAAAAGACGACTGTTCTGCCTTACCCTTTCCCCCTAATTATCACCTGCCTTTTTTTTTCCAGCTGATTTGCTGAGATTAAAACCTCTCTCCCACCAAGCTATCCCAATCTATGTGTCTGAAATTAATACAAACCAACGACCTTTCTCTACCCATAAAGCCCTACTTTAAAATGCTGGCCCCCACTGATGTCAAGAGGGCAATAATAGTTCTGTCATTTCCATAAAATCAGCATTTTCCTGCCAGAATTCAGATCTCTCCTCCGAGTACTATGCCACTGTCCCCCTGAGGGCTGCAGCAATCTCTACAGCACTTGTTTCTCCTCTTCGACTGCAAGCACGCTGCAGGCTTCAGCATTGCCTAGGATAATCTACCTGCTTAAGATTCAACTAACTTTCCGGTTCTCTAAATAAAAAGAGCAAGGAAAGGTCAAATCTGCCCTAGGTTGTGCTTGCAAAGTCTGCCACGTCAGGGGGGAAGGAGCAGGCTCTGCTGCTCCTCCTGCTCCCCCAGCTCTGCTTCTTGTCCTCACATCTGGAAAGCTCTCTGCTCACTCGACCTTCTCCTTGGAAAGCTCTTTCACACAGCATCTACCCCTGGGTCAGCTCGCCCTGAAACCATGCCTTGGGCAAGCCCCAAATCCGCGCCGTTCCCAGTCGGCAGCCCCAGTCCCCGTGCTGGTCCCGCTGGCTGCCCTGGGGCACTCCACTTGCTGCTGAGCTGCTGCCTGTGCTTTTATCAGCCCTCGGCAGCGGTTCTGCAGCTGCTTTCGGGATTCCTCCCAAAGCTGCCACGCAGCTCCAAAGCCAAAAAGCAGCCCCAGGCGTGCAAATGAAACGGGCACAAAACCCGGCAGAGCAATGCCCGTCGGCCAGTGCTCAGCAGAGTGCTCTGCAGCGGGGCCAAAAAAGAGCCACTGAGGCTGATGTGGAAGGGAAAAACCTCTCTGAAGTGCTGGAGGTTTTCAGCCCCCTGAGTTCGGTGTCCCAGGCAGGAAACCCATGCACGAGCCTGCACGTGGGGCCTCCCGCTTGCTCCGTCCCTGCCATCGGTCACGGGGGAGGAAAGGAAGAACAAAACCAGTTGCTGGTGCCTTCTCTCAGAACTGCAGCACATTGGGCTCTTCCAAAATGGATTTCACTGGGCTTGTTATCTCTGGGGACGGCCTGAACTTAAACATCTGAGCCTAAAACTATGGAAGTCCTTACCTTCATATTTGCTGCATAGCCATACTTCCTGTGGCTGGCTGCTCAATGAACAAATACAACACACCATCACTTACAAGTTGATGAAGATCTCCTAATTGCACTGGACAGCTGACACTCCATGAACTGCACAGTCCAACAGAAAAAAACCGCTCTCCCTTCACACCCACTGACCCTGTCCCCTCCATCCCCAGTCACTCCAACCCACCACAGATGCTACACTGATTTTTGTTTAATGCACACTGATTTTTGTTTAATGCATGAGGTATAAATGCTTTCTGCTTGAGCTATATTCACAAATAGAGAAGGCAGAGCTCTGAGAATCGTACTATGCAGCTTACACTGGCAGAGTATGCTTCTGCATTTGGAAAAGCTGTACAGTGTGTAAAATACCAGAAAGAGATACTAAAAGCAGAGCCTCACACAAACCCAAAATCACCGGAAGACATTTTCCTAGTTTGGAAATGACACAAGAATGCCATCATGAAACACGCAAAGTGTGCTGAGTATAGGCTGTGTAACTTCTGCCAAAGATAAGGTGCAAAGAACTAAGCATGACAGGTCTAGAAAGGGCTACAGGTATACGGCATTCATTTGTCCCCCGACAGAAGAGGGACAAATGCCACTTTACTCATCCCTCTGGTCCTTCTGGAGTATTTTCTACACCTTTGAGTTGTACAAATTTACGCAAGGAAAATATCAGCTTCATGAGTTTGAAGATTCTCCCAGGGTTTCATTGACTAATATGGAATAAGACAAAAATATCACATCGAAGCCACAATGCCCCACAGCTGCTGCAGAAGCAAAGACCACAATCTCCACACCACAACTCAAACTTTTAGAGGGTTTGTATTCAAGACGGGATTGGGGTTTTGCAAGTCAGCAACCCCCAACGACGGGAAAGCTGGTACGATGGCTTTTAAACTCACCTCTCTGTCAAGTCCAGCAGCCACAGTGACAATGTCTCCCGTCTCGCTGTTAATAGTAAACATATTTTGCGATGGGCTCTGTGGAGTCTGAGTCACGATTCGGTATCTCACCATCCCATTTGCTGTTGTACTATCATCTGCATCATTTGCTGTCACTGTCATCACGTAGGTACCTTGGAACAAGAGAAGACAAAATATCAGGACTATCTCATTGCAGAGCAGATTGCAGTCCCGTTGACTCGGGTCACGCATTTTACTCAGAAATGCTACGGGGTAGACATCCCATTTCAATCCAGCCAGCTAGGCAAGGCGAGGATTATGAAAATAGCAACACTGCTGAGACTAGATGATCTGTAAGGATACTGATTACACATAACTGGTATACAGAAGTCATATGAGGATAAATATGATTAACTTCTAATTCTTTCAGTGATTGTAAGTTTTAGGGCAACATTTTTTGTCCTGCAATTTCATATAGAATCTCACAGGAGACTCTTTTCCATCCAATCACTGCATTCATATGCATTCAAAAGTATTTCCAGAGTTTAACAGTGGAAAGCCCATCAGACTTCTCAGCAGCTTCAGAAGGACCCCAGCGACGTGCCCATGCCCAGTGCAGGAAGCAACTGCCTGCTGCTCCAGTTCTTGGACAAACGTCCACCTTTCCTCCCCTTCTGGAGAAAACAACCCATTTCTGCAGAGCAAATGGAACAGCTGCTGCCCAGCAGGACAGAAAATCAATGATTTGGTATGTGTGGCCAGCGATGTATTGAATCATTGGTTTGTTTCTTGCTAATCATCAGTGTCTTCATTTGCCTTGCAAAAAAACAATCCCTACTTTCTAGATACTGTTGGGAGTGTGCTGATGCACTGACAGGCTCATTATCACTGGAGTTTGGCAGCAGGGTGTTTTGTTAAAGTGGGAAATTATCATTATGAGGGTAAAAGATGTTACTTGATTGGATGGACTCCTGCAGCTGCATGGTCCTGTGACCCCCCAGAGCTCATAGGGCCCAGCTTTACACTTGTTATATTGATAGGAGAGAATGACTAAAAGGGCAGACACACACTGCTTACAAAAAGCAATCTGCAACAGTGGATGTATCTAATGATATGAGACCTGAAAGGAGGAGTGGGAGGCAAAAAGAGACAATGAAACCAGACATAACCTCGTTTAGTGACCATGAAAACCCAACAGATCAATGGAAAGATGGAGAGTACCGCTTCAACACTGCTCATTTGGGAACTCTGAACAGGATGAACCAACTTGTGAGCCTGCCATGCTGGAGGAGATGCAAAGTTGTCCCAACCTGAGAGGATTCAAGATGGAGCCACATGCTTGAGATGAGTTTGTTCTGCCCACTTGGTTAGATGTGAGCCACTGGCAAACTCGAGGACACGTGGCTACATCAGTGCTGCATTGTGTCTCATCTAACAAGCCCGGATCCCCAGCTTGGTCACAAAGCTACCGAGCTCCTAGCTCAGAGAAAGCAGAGAGCTGGAGAGCTTACATCCGTCTGCAAGAGAGTTTAGAAACATAGCGCATCCTCTGAATGGGTGGATGTGCCCATGGCTGGAGCATGCCCAACTTCTGTACCCTAGCCAAGTGGCTTTAAGCCACTTGGCGCGTAGGCAATCCCCTCAGCATCCTCCCCAAGTTTGGGAAAACAACATTTCTCGGTATTAGCAAGAAGTGGCCTCATAAGTTTGTATTTTTGCACTGTGGAAAGTGCTTTGCTGATCTCCTTCCATCTGGCTCAGTCAGGCTCTTTTTGTTCTCTGTGGTGATACATATCCCTGTGAGTTTTCTTAGTTCAATAAGAATTATAGATTAAAAAATAAATGAATGTGTAAAGCAAATTCTAATGATGAATACATTCCTATCTTTCTGCAATAATCCTGATTCACATTTGCGAAATGAAAACAAACTATTCAACAACTTTAACATTTTTCTGATCAATAAACTTCAGGAGAAGGAAGGAACACTGAATTGAAACAGGGCTGTGCGAGGAATGAATATTGTCCTTTCTCTTCGAGCATTCTTTTTTTTGCTCTATTGCAAAACCAGTTATTGTGAGACAACTGATACAAATAAAGAAGCCAACCCTTAGATAAAGTACAGGGGAAATGTACAGGAGAAATTTAAATAGGTAATATGCTGAATGAGATGTTTGATTTGGAATTTTTGTTATCTTAATGCATTCTATACTGAAAATACCTCTGAACAGAGTGCCAAAACCTAGGGCTAATGAAAACAGAAGTGGAGGAAGAAAACGGAATCTATTTTAGGACACGTGCAGTCTTAGGACATATTCTAAAAACCAGGTGGTATTTCATGATTCACTTCTAGTGCAAGAAACAGCACAGAAAGGGAAGTTATTGAGGCTACTAAGTTCAGACGAGAGCACCCCGCAGTTCTGGTCCCTCCGCATCCAGGATCTCTCAGACTGCACTGTAGCTTCCAAAATAAACCAGACCTTTTTCCTTCTTTCCTTCAGTGTAGCATTGGACTGAGCACATCTGCTGTAGAAAAAAGGACTATTTCAACAGCATTTGACCTACATCCCCATAAAGGGAGATGGGGCTGGACAAAGGTCTCTAAAGTCATGAACTAAGCACCAGGGAGCTGTATTTCAAGAGGCAATCTGCTCCCTATCTCATATCTTTAATTTCGATTATGAAACCCAACCACAGAGAAAATAAAGAGAGGAACTTGGCATTAATTACTAACTCGTAACTTAATAAACCGTCCTCTGCAAAGGGCCCTGTGTGGCTGCAGCACTCTGCAGCGCATGATGGAATTGCAGCAGCCGCTTCCTTCCTTGGCTCTCCGCTGCTCCCTAGGGCTGCTCGTCTGACCACAGTCTGCTGCAAACTGGCTGCAAATTACTTCTTCCTCTCTGCAGTCTGGATGGTGGCTGCTATGTCCGTTCCCGTTCCTAAGTGCACGCATTCCCACCCCGCAATGTTGACCCCAGAGTAAGAGGGTGAGGGCATCTCCTCTTACCCATGCTGAGAGTACCACTCCTGAGGACCGCTCCCAGGGGATCTGCTGGTGCAGCCTACACTCACCATCTACGTTCCACTCAGTTTTCTGTGTATTTAGCCTGTCTTTAAGCAAGACGTATCGTCTAGATACCTGTGTGCTGGAGTGAATGTCATAAACATATATCTGTGCTCAAGAGTATTCGATAGAGTGAAGTGGATATATGCTGTTACAGTGTCTAACATCTTCTGGGTGCTATATAAAGTCTTCCACTATACTAAGATGGCTGGTGATGATTTATCTGCTAAAAAGGTAAATTATGTCATGTTTCTATGTCCTATGCATGGGGGTATATCTTCATATATTTATATTAAAATAAAGGAAATACATCCTCATACCCAATCCCTATTACTACACAAATTAGGCAAATATACAGTGGCAGACTGCACAGTTCTTACACACTTGAGGACTGAGGCTGGTTTTGTGAGGATTTAAGTGAAAAAGTGCAGACTGCCCAACCTGGCCTGCAGGGTGCGCGTATGCGTTTTGTGGAAATCGAAGTATTAACCACACCATCTTTAAATCCCTATATCCTACCCAAACAGAGACTGGAAGCAGTTACTACAGACCAGAAACACTGGGCAAACTCCTCCAAGTGACACTCAAGACACCCCCCCCCCCCCCCCCCGTACTCTGCCGGTGTTGGGTCTGATCCTGGCAGTGGTGATGGAGCTACAAGAGGGGTGTATAAATGAAACAAGAGGGGCTTTACACTTGCACTGTGCAAGAGAAGCATTAGCTTTATTTTTCTGCTCTGAAGGGCTTGCTCTCAAGCACACCGACAACATTAAACAAATGCACAAAGTGCTGAAACTCGGGAAATTGCCCCAGTCCGCGCAGTGTATCACGTGACAAATACCCAGTCCAGACGGTGTTTGATATAACTGTATTAAACCACACACCTGGATTACTAACTCAGGTAGATAACCTGTTGAAAGAAAAACATTTCTCATCAAATCAGGCACATGGTAAGTTAAATAAAATACCTAACCTAGTACATCATGTCAATATTAAATCAAATTTGTTGCATGTTGAACAGCTCTTCCAAGATTGAATTATCATGCACAGCCAGTGATGACAAGATTACTGTGCATTAGCTTTCATTAACTAATGTGCCAAGTTCATATATCACCTGAGTTAAAATTAACGTATGGCATGATGAAGGAGATCTATCAATAAAAGGCAAGACCCCGAGAATCTGCAACTTCACAATGCATTCCCTTTGATTTCCCAGAGACCGCAATCTCCTAGATGTTATTTTGTCAAATGAGATATTTTTGTTTCAATCTAACAACGGACAAGACACACGAGAGAGATGCTTGAGAGCAACCCTTATGGAAAATATTCCCTTTAGATTAATTAAGCTTTCTACAGGATAGGCAAAACAGCGCCTTACAGAGTCTGGGGGGATGGAAGCAAAGGGAGATAATTTTTACCTGTATATTTAGTTTACCAATTTTAAAATTAATTGTATCTGCTTGTAAAACATTGCACAAAGATTTTGTTAGGTTCACTATATCTCATTCGATCTGTACATGTTAATAAATAAAAAAAGAAGTAAAACAAGAAAGATAGCTGCCCTGTGTACGTATAAGCAGATAAGCACACAGTCGTAAACAAACGTCCCCTCCAAATCACTCTGGAATCTGAGAATCAGTTCAATTCTTTCTAGCTCAGACGGTCCCAAAGCATGCCAAGGACTGCGAATTCACATCACGTAGTCTGCAATCTCTGCTCTCCCATCTCTGCAACTTCATTTCTCCGTAAAGACTGAGCTTTCACGGTTTTAAGGCATACAAACAATATCTTAGCACAGTTGTGCTCCCGAAGTCTTTGTTACAATTGCTTTATAATTACCATTTTTCTAAGCTGGTTTGATATCCATTAGTTAGATTTAATGCATGTTAAAAGAAAGAGCTAATAGGCACTTATCAGGAATCCAAACAAAAAAAAAAAAGATTAAAAAACCCCTTTCACTTTGCCCTTTATACCACATATCACTATAAAAATACACAATCCTCTCTGTCTACTCCTGTGATATAAACAGAAAAAGCTAAAACTTCATTCAGTTTTTACTGATAACGCTGATTCTCTATTCAGCTTTATCTTACAGTTTATGTTTTTTAA